CCTAACTCTAATCCCCTCAGCATTTGTGTAACTTTGGACACAATCACCTCACTTCTCTGGGACTCAGTTTCCTTATTTGTAAAATGCAAAGAAAGACTCGATGACAACTTCTAACTCTTTATCTGATGATTTTTCTCCACCATGCACATGCAAATTACAAGTTTTTCTAACTGAATTGACCAATTTCTGTTTTTATGTTTAAAAATATGGTACTTTAGGGGCAGCTAGGTGGCGCGCAGTGGATACAGCACCGGCTCTGGAGTCAGGAGGACCTGAGTTCAAATGTGGCCTCAGACCAAATACTTGACACTTACTAGCTGTGTGACCCTAGGCAAGTCACTTAACCCCAATTGCCTAAAAAAAATATATATATATATGTATATATATGGTACTTTGCAAACCAAATTGATAAAATTCTCTATGAGTTATTATTATTGTCTCTAGTGCCTAGCACAATGCCTTTCAAAGAATATACACTTGATAATATTTGTGAAGTGAGTCAGATAGCTAAGACCAAAGGATATTCCCTAGTGGATAAGGGGATGTGAGTAGTTTTCCAATCAATGGCAAACTAGTAACAACCATTTGAATAAATGCTCTCAATCACTAATAATAAGAGAAATTCAAGCCTAGCAGATTGGAAATAGTCAATGTTGGAGGGGAGTGTGGTACTCTACCACATTGTTGGTAGAACTATGAATTAGTTCATCCATTCTGAAAAGCAATTTGAAATTATGTGAAAATGACTAAAATGTCTCTGCCCTTTGACTCAGAGATTGAATTGCTAAGAATACATCCCTATCCCAAAATCAAAGACACAAATGTCCCATTTACAGTAAAATATTTATAGTAGCACATTTTATGTTATCATAGGATTGAAAATAAAGTAGATATCATTTGATTTGTTGTTATTCAGTCATGTCTGACTCTCCATCACCCCTTTTGGGGTTTTCTTGGCAAAGACAGTGGAGCAGTTTGCCATTTCCTTCTCCACTTCATTTTGCAGCTGAGGAAACTGAGGCAAACAGAGTTAAGTGACTTGACCAGGGTCACAAAGCTATTAAATGTTGGAGGCCGGATGTGAACTCATGAAGATGAGTTTTTCTGATCCAAGCCCAAGGCTCTATCCGCTTTCATGTCTAGCTGCCCATTCTTTGATTGGGGAATGACTAAACAAATTATGGTACGTAAATGTAATAGAATACTGCTGAACTATAAGAAATGACGAATATTAGTGGATTCAGAGAAGCATGGGAAAACTTATATGAATAGATACAGAATGAAGTAAGTAGAACCAAGAAAATGATATATACAATAATTAAAAGGATGTAAATAGAAACAACAGCAGCAAAAAACAAACAACAAAGCTGAATACTGTGTAATTATAATGGCTAAGTTGCTGTTGAGAAAATGGCGCTCCCTTATTTCTGCAAAGTGGGAAGAGTAGAGGTATCAGATATTATGTGATATTGATTAATTTTGCTAATGTTTTTTTTCTTTCTTTTAAAATCTTAGTCCTAAGGGATGGCTTGTTGGGAAAGGGCAGAGGAGGAATATAAAAAAAAAGTTATAAAAACAAACAGCATCAATAAAATAAGATTAAAAAAAAGAGTCTGTGAATGAAATCAGTGGATGGATGGGTAAACACATGAAGTGGGCAAAACAGACTTCTCACTAATTGGTGATTATTGACTCCATTGGCAAAGACAATGGGATCCTTCACTTATCTCAAAAAAGCCAAAAACTTTGGCCCAGTCTTCCGATATGTTGTATAGCCTCAAACATGATACTTACTAGCTGCTGTGACCCTGGGCAAGTCACTTAACCCCAATTGCCTCACCAAAAAAAAAAAAAGTAACAAAAATAAATTAAAATTTGGGGCAGCTAGGTGGAGCAGTGGATAGAGCATTGGCCCTGAAGTCAGGAGGACCTGAGTTCAAATCCGACCTCAGACCAAACACTTGACCATACTAGCTGTGTGACCTTGGGCAAGTTACTTAACCCCGATTGCCTTACTAAAAAAAAAAATAATAATAATAAATAAAACTGATATGTTGTAAAACTCACAGCTCTCTGTTGGCTGGTGCTGCAAATGTTTAACCATTTGAGGAATATCAATTTATTGACAGATGTCACATTCAGCATTAGATGAAGCCTGTAAATTCCAGCATTAAGTTTTCCCCATCTGGGAGAGGTGGCTTTTGTCCAGCGGCAAGGGCCCTAGCCTGGGAGTTAGAGGAGGGAGAGCTGAATGCTAACTCCACCACCTGCCCTAGGAGCTGTGACCTTGGTAAGTTGTTTCTCCCTTTCTGTTCCTTAATTTTTTTGTAAAATGAGAGTGTGGGGGGGGGGCAGCTAGGTGGCATGGTGGACAGAGCTTGGGACTTGGAGTCAGGAGGACCTGAGTTCAAATCCAGCCTCAGACATTTGACACTAGCTGTGTGACCCTGGGCAAGCCACTTAACCCCAATTGCCTCACCAAAAAGCAAAAAAATAAAAAAAAATAAATGAGAAGGTTGGATCAGCTGACCTTGAGGTCCCTGTGTCTTGAAGTCTATGATCCTATGAACTTAATTGTCAGTTCTTTCTTCAATGGATTTATTTTCAGTACTGGTGAGATTTGTCAAGTAAGTTAGAAGAGTCCTAGACAATGTCAAACATAAAATTTCTTAATGCTCAGGATTTAATCTTAGGGAAAACTGAGTCTTCCTAAGCAAGAAATCCGTCCCTCACTCCCTAATCTCTGCACTGAAGACACTGAATTTCAAATAGGATTTGGAATGGGGGCTTAATAAGTCTGGGGCAGATAAGGACGACAAAGGCGGTTTGCATTTCTTTGGGGTGGAATCTCTGCCTGTTCGAGGTGCAACTTCTAGCCTAGAAGAGACAGTATTCAGAGACGGAGGCCCTGGGCTTGCTTCTTGCTACTCTCCTCTGGCTGTGGCTTGGGACAATCCCTGTTCACCATTCTAAACCTCAGTTTCCCACTCCATAAAAGGAGGGAATTGGATTTCTTTTTTGTTGTTGTTTTTGCTAGTTCCTTTTCGGTTCTAAATCTATAATCCTGGTAAATGAAGTACAGGGGATAAAGCCCAGAGAAATGGGAATCAGAGGGAGACGCATGGGGAGCGGGGTATCAGAGGGAGCTGAGGAAGTGGGGTTCATAATCTGCATCGGGAGACAGCACAAGGTTAAGAGACGTAGTAGCTCTGCCTCTGGGCCATTTTCGGCCCGGGCTCCCCTCTCCTGCTAAAGGTGTTAGTGAGACGGAGCTCAGACACCTTGCTCAAGCAAGCCTGCTCAGGCCCCACCCCTGCCTTCCAGCATCCAGCATCCAGCATCCCTCCTTGGCTCAGCTCCTGTCCTCCGCACCCGCATTGTGACACGCACACATTGTAACACACACCCACACCCTCCGATGCCTGGAATCCTCCCTGCCCTGAGCAGGCGAGAAAACGCAGGAACCATTGTTTTGCCTCCGTGTGTGTGTGTGTGTGTGTGTGTGTGTGTGTGTGTGTGT